TGGGCTGAGAGGTTAAGTGTAAGACCATTGAGGGTAATACTTGGTGGGATAATCTTGCATCTGCCCACAGTCCTTGGGTTTTTATAAGGTGGCTTGACCCAGGGACCACTTAGTGTAAGTGTTGGGCCCATTAAGAGCCCATGGTGATGGGCTCAGGAGTTCACTGATTCCTATAGTGAATTCGGCCAGGCCTTGTAACAGAGGTTGGAGTGAACCTATGTGGCTGATGTATAGATCAATGTTTGGGTCCCATGCCATACAAGGATACCCAACTGGGCAGCAGTTTGGAGGCTGAATGAGCACATGGACTTAATGGGCCTAAAGCCCAAATCGAACTAATTTAATTTGATTAATTAAAGAGGGGCGGTTCTGGGATTTGGATCAGCAGATAGGATAGAGAGTTATCCCTATCCACTCAGAGAGTCTAGATCCAAATAATGATTTGGATTAGGAAACTCCTAATTAGATTAGGAGGGCTGATCTTAATCTGCAAATAAGATAAGGGTTTATCCTTATCTCTTAAAAAGAGTCCAGATCCAAATACAGATTTGCATTAGGAAACTCCTAATGAGATTAGGAGCTGCTCTCTTTAAGGCTATAAATAGAGGAGGAGGGCGAACCCTACTTCACCCAACAAGATCTCAGATCCAAGAGAGAAGACAACCCTAGTAAGACTGACGCCATCTTCTACTCTTGCCTCCCTCTATTGTTGCCGCCATTGCGAGTTCGTTCTCCACCAGTAGGAGTGATTAAGAAGTGTTCTTGATATCAGTTTTTGGAGAAAAACTAATCTGAAGTCGTGCTCATTCGCCATCCATCAGATTCTTGGTGAAGAATCAGGTTCTTGCTGAAGGACCACCCTGCTGATTCTGCTCCACCCTACAGTATGTCATCTTCAGTGGGAGCAGTTTTTGGAGATCTCCTTGGGCGTGAACACCTTCATTGGGAGTTACTACTACTCTGTATTAGGTATATCCCTCTCCTACCTTTTGGTTTCAGATCTGGTTTGATTTAGGGTTCAAGACTGATCCTTGAAAATGTAGTTTTCTAAGACAGGGAATGTGATTTTCATATGGGAGAGAGAGAAAATTTTGAAATTTTGCCCTACCTTCCTGTAGGGTTTGGCTATCCATGTGATGGATCTCTCATCCCTTCATGAGGCTAATACCCAATTGGACCAAAGTGCAAGTGGGAATTGTTAGACAGTGTATGTCCTTAGCTCCAATTAGATTGATGTACATAAACATTTATTTGTAAACGAATAAAGTACGCTATTGTTTCATTTTCATATTGGTCTTTTTTGTGAATTAACCCTTAAAGTGGACACTTAAGAAACTCATGTTAGTCTAGAATGTTCCCAGCCATTTGATAGACTTGTGGAGTTTACCCTGACAAGGCTAACACTGGTGTGTTGCCTAGTGTGTTGCCAAACAGTTGGAGCAACTTGTCTTAGCTGCTAGGGTTGGACCCCAAGCACAACCAGTGGGTGTTTATAAGAAACACAGAACCCAAACAAATTTCTAATTATGCCCTAGATCTTGGAGATAGATGGGCAAGACTAGAAAGTTGCACTTTACCCCGTACTTGATGATGATACTATGTAAGTGTTGGATTGAACTGTCTTTGATATGTCAACCAATGAGATCCATCAAGGGTCAAATACCTAGGCATGTTGGGACAATTTGGAAAATCACCTGAGTGAATGATCATAGTGATAGGATTAGCCCCTTTTTCAGACAAAGTGAATATCAAGGTTTACACTCTCTCTAATGGAAACCTAAAATACCAATAGTAGATTTCAACTATATTTGAAATTTGATTAGCAAAATATATTTTTATGTTATATTACTATTTTATGAAAAAAGGTTTGCAAAAGGTTTTAATCCCAACAGAGAGTGTGACATTGCATTTTGTAATCAGGGGAGAGGTCCTTCCCTATGGGCAGTGTTCTGATGATTAAGGGACAAGAGGTTAAATGTAAGAGACCATTACAGGGTTGATTACCTGATGGACTTTATCTTATATAAGCCAATTATCCTTGGATCTTCATAAGGTGGTTGAACCCAAGTTCACTGCCCTGAACAGTGAATTCAGCCTAACCTCTTTCAGGGATAGGGCCAAATTCTTATGGACTTGTGTAAGACTTTTGTAGGGTCTCACGCCATACAATATTCAGGCCCAAAGTGGCCATGCAACACAAAAGGAGGTAAGCCATTGGAAAAAATGGGCCTTAGGCCCACTACTAATATAATTAATTAAGTGATCACATGACAACTTAAGTTGTCAAGTGACTTGGGTTGAAAATGGGCATAAATCTGGGTATGGAGCACCTATCCTCCTAAAAGGATAATGCTTATCAATTAAAGATAGAGTCCTGTTGGGTCAACTCCTAATTAGATTAAGAGAGTGCTCTATATAAAGGAGAAAGAGGGGAGAGTCCAATTCAGCTAATTCTCTCCTCTTCTCCCTTGCCTCCTAGAAACCCTAGCACAACCTAGCTATTGCAAGAACTGAATTTTTTTAGTTTTTTCACTTTGTTTTTGCAAGAAAAGCATTGGGGAAATCAGGCTCACAAATACCATTCAATCCAAGCAAACTGGATAGCAGTTTTGTTGAAACGGTTTTACTGAATCGGTTTCTTATACACACTACACCATTTTCAATTGGAGGCAGTTTTGGGACTGATATTGGGCGTGAACTACCACTCTAAGAGCTGTGATTTGTGGACTCCGTATCAAGTATAATCAGTTTTGATTTCCATTTCAAACCTGGTCTAGTTCAATGTAAGATCAATCCAGAAATTTCATATTTCAAAATCATTGGGAAATCGGTTCCTTGGTTGGGTTAGAAATTTTGATTTCTAACCCTACCAACACTTCTGAACCAACACCTCTTCCCCTGACAACACCCCTTCCTTTGCTAAAACCTCTTCCGTGAAGTCTGTTTATTTATCTCCCATATCACCAGCAACTGGAAAACAGCTCGATAGGTTCTCAACAATAGTGCCTCTTTCATTTTTTTCTTTCTATACACTCTTTTAAATTTTCTACTTGGGCCTGCACTTGTGAGCCCATCTTTCAGCCTAGAGGAGACTTTGTTAATGTGAATTAGATGCCCAGTAAGTATACATTTAAAAAATGTAATACATCTCTTTTAATGCAAGTTGTTAAATACTAATTAATGATAGCAAGAAAGAGGCAACATGTAATGTATATACCTCAGCCTCGGCCTTTTGAAGGTCAAAACATCTCTCTCAAGTCTTTGTTTGTACATCAATCCTATTCTCCTAAGTGAATTAGCTCCTTGGACAAATAGTGTGCATTGTGAGCTGAGATCATCCAACCTGAAGGGCAAACCAACATACGGCATTTTTTAACTTTGATCAAGTAAGTTCAATCTAAATGTGTGCATATGGAAATTAAATTCAGAGGAAAAGAAAATTCACGGGTCACTACATTGGATGTATATCATGTGAAAAGTGCTACTGCAAGAGGTAGATAAATTTGCAAAACCAAATAAGTAGAAAATAACGAAGAAATGTAAATAAAGGAACAAAGAATGAAGACCCATCCATCAAAATAGGGTTACCTAGGTGAGTCATGTTTGATGCTTGACAAGATTGCATGTGAAGAGAGGTTGGTCAAACTCAAGATTGTAGATAAACAGAACACTATGCAATAGATTCGAGAGCCCAAAAGTAAGCTCATCAAGTTCTCTCAACCACTACCTCTTTAGAGTTCTTTGACAATCTCTAAAGTATAAATGGTGGTATAGGACAAATTATCTGACCTGGACAACCATTGACCTAGGAGATTGGGTGTAGGTAAGATAAGCACAAACTTTAAACCTAGAATGCATCTTCTCAAAAATCAGGCAAAAAATATTTTGATTTTAAATAATTATCAAAAAATATTTTGTTTTTAAATATTCTCAAGTTAGATTTATAAATGGAAAGTTGGAAACAATATTTCATATAAGTTAATGGGAAAGTACCGTAGGTTATTCCTTTTGACAGTCTCTGCTACTTCGTGTTCAAAATCGGCAATAGATCTTGATATTGCTTCAATAGACATGATTGTGTATTCCATTTGCTTCTTGTGCTCTCTTTCTTTTGTTTTAACCATTGCTATAACATCTTGGTTCTCTTCAATAGTGGCATGAAGAATACTTCTCTCTTCATCTGCTGCACTTAGTTTTTCCATTGCTAGCTTAAGGTTTTGATCTAGCTTTTCAATTTCTTCCCAATATAAATCCAATTGCTCCAAAGCCTCCTTCAATTTCTTCTTCATTGTATTTGATTCCATCTTATTGTTGGAAATCAATCTCTCTTTGTGACTCATTTCATCTCTTAGTCTATTGAGCTCTTGCAAGACTTGGTCATATTGCTCCTGCACCTCCATCAATGTAGACTCTGCTTTTGTTGCCAGTTTCTCCTTATCTGTCACCAAAGCTGACAATGATAGTATCTCTTTCTTCATTTGTTCCTTTTCTTCAAGATTTAAACTTAGGGCCTTTTTAATATCTAGTACTGTTGCTCCAAGGGATATTACTCTTTCATTTCCCTCAAGGAGTCTCATCTTCATGGAATTCATTGTAGCTTCAGCATCCTTAACAGCTCCTCTGAAAATAATTTCACATATTTCACATATTTCTTTAGTCTCCTTGGAGATCATATCCAACTTCAAAATGATCTCTGACATCTTTTTCCTCAAGACATTAAACTCCTTACGCTTTCTCAAGTATGAAGAAGAATTCCTTTCTTTGAGAATTTCCCGCAAGTATTTGTAATACATCTCTGTTTCTTCCTACAACCAAGATTCATGATCTCTCTTCATCTTGATCAACTCATCTATCAGATCATCCTTTCACAGGCGCTTTAACTTCACCGGATCTGTAATGTAAGGCATTCTTCTTTTGGGCTCCTCATGTTCAGCACTTTTCTCATTAAGGGAAGCAGGCAGTCTGATGTGGTTAGTCAATCCCTTCTGATGGAAATCATGAGAGGATAGTTGCCCCACTTCAAGCCCAGAAAACATTTTAATCATGGCCTCTAATTCTCGACATAAACTTGAAATCTCGCTGATCTTTGTCAATTGGTTTATGTTTTGTCTATCACAAACTTGAGCATTTTGTAACCTCAACTTTGCTTCAAATTCCTCCTGCAAACTCCTAACTGAATTCTGAATTACCATTACTTCAATTTCTTCTTGAAACTCACGCTCCTACTGCCACTCATGAAGTGATGCCTTAGATAAGTAAATTATATCATCAACCTGTTCAAAGACAGTTTCTAATGTCTTCTTCAACATCTTGAGGCTTTTATCCATTGTCATCCATTTTCTCTCCTTTACATTTTCTATTTCGGTTGCCAGCCTCTGAAACTGCTCTTCTTCCACTATTCTTAGATTATCCAGATGGCTCTCTATACCATCACTTTCTGCAATGCATGGAAAGCTTGAATATTGAACATGCTTTCTCCTACTAGGAGCATTCTCCATTCTTGAAAGCCTCAGTCCATCAATTTTGTCCATATCTGATTTGCAGAATTGCAATTTTTTGTTCAACGACTCCATCTCCTTCACTTTCAGAACAAGTTTCTCAGAAACCTCTTCCATGGTTTCGTTAGCCATACCTTTGATGACAATGTCTGATGAGAATGCAAAATATCATATTTTTCTCCCTTAATGTTTAGTCTTTTATACTTATTTAGTGCCTAAATTGACTCATTATTCTTATGTTTTGATTTAGGGCACAAATGGAGGCGTTAAGTGAAAAACGGAGTTAATTGGACAATTCTGGATAGTTTTGGCATCGCTTCATAATCTGGGCATAATTCTCTCATCCGACCTCCGATTGAGATGATTCAAGATGCTTTGGAACGACAATCTATAACTTTCATGTTTTGAGTTTTGAGAGATACTAACTACATTGAGGTCGAAATCAGGCGCGAAGTAGCTGCAACCGCACTGCTGACGTGCTGGAAATGTTCCTTAGCCTACAAGTTTTCATATGCGGAAATCGCCACTCTCCCACTTGCATTAGAACTTTGTTTTATCTTATTTTTAATATTTTCTTGATAAGTCAGACTGGGAGACTGTTATCTAGAGAGAAATTTTAGGAGATTTTGTAGGCTTCTCTTGGGGAATGAGAAGTAGAGAGAAAAGAAAAGAAAAGAAGAAAAACAAAAAAAAAAAAGAAAAAAGAAAATAATCAGACCTGAGCTACCGCACCTCTTTTCTTCTTTTCCAATTCTTCCTTGAGTTTTCATCATGACCATGTGTGGCTAAATTCTGATACTTGGTCGAAGGAAACAGAAACCTCAGAATCAGCAAAACTGTGAGATTTAATTTAATTTTTACTATTTGATTTATGCTTTGAATATCGAATGTTCTTCTATGCTTATGTTCATGACTGTCTCGTCTAATCGCTAGGAGGCCTACTAGTTTATTATTTGTTGCAATCTACTATTGTGTTAGATATCAGATCTATAATTGTTTGATCCCTCTAATCTGAGAAGCAACTAAGGTTTAATGATTTATTGCGTCATAAATTGTTAGATCTTAGGAAGAACACTCGACTACATTAAATGCAATCGCTTGTGCTTGTGTTGTTTAGCTTCATCGATCTCCAATTCTTAAGGCTGCTACTGGATTAAATTCTGAACGCTTGTTTCGAGTTGTTTAGTAGTAAGGGTTAAGTAGATCGCTTGTTTTCTAATTAACTGCAAAAGGAAATATAGGAAAATAATTCCTACAGTAAATATTCAAGGTGTGAATTGATATATTTTTGCATCGATGATCAATAGTGAAATTCTGATGGTGGATGTTGACTTAAACCAAGATTTGTTCTTTTGATTAATTTTGGTACTTTAATTTGCATCACTCCTCATTTGATTTTCTTTCTTTTTAAATCTGATTTTCGTCACACTCACCCCCCCTTCCATCTTTATTCACACAGCACAAAACTAGGCTAGATACTCTCTATGGGAACAATCCCTACTCGCACTACTGCATGTGTTTTTAGGAGTATAGATTTTATTTTGGGTGCTTACGACAGCACACCAATGTCACACACCATACTTGAGATAGTCAAACAGTCGGCCATTTCATCAAAATAAGAATCACAATTAGAAACGATCCCATCACCAATATTCTCACTCTCCTTACTACTCGGATGCCTTGACTTGTCATTTAACAAGACGATCTCCCAATTCCCAAAACCATCCAAAATCCCTGGATCCTCCATAGTAATTGATATTACTCCAAAGCCACTCCTAAAGGAGCATTAAAGAAGTTCCCCAATCAATACAATTCAAAGCAGAAGTCAACAAACTCAACTCAACTGGACAACCTACATAACCCAACCCAGAACCAAGCAGTGAAAAACTAGCAAAACTCGCGTGAATCACCAAACCAAAGTCTTACTTCTTTTCTACTGCATCTTACAGACTGGCTAATCCTAATCCAGAAGCAGAAACGAAAACCACCTTAACCAAAAAAACCGGAGTTTAATTCTCCAAACTGTTGACTCCAACCACAACAGCACACAGATTTACCTGCATATCAACTTCAATTTGTACTTCAAATTAGTGGAAAAAGGATGGCTTACACTTAATGGATTGAAAAACGCAATAGACAACTACTCAAAGATGTAAAGTCATCTCCGACCTTGTCCCCGTCCCCAACCGTTGCATTGCTGAAATATTTGCAGAGCCGACCGTTGAAACGTTTGAATTCTCCCGCTTCCCGCCAAATTTTCTTTCGATTTTGGCGGCAGAAAAGAGTTCTTTCCTCAAAGTTTGAACAACAAATCTTTGCCTCTCTTTCCCTCTGAGAGAAAGGATAGGCCGTGTAGTAGGAGGGAAGCGCAGAAGAAAAGAATCAGTTGAGCGGGAGCTTGAGGAAAGACTAAAAGGGGGCCCACGGCCCAGTGCCAGAGAAGAAAAGCTTGATTTTCAGAAATGCCCTTATTTGATTTCACACTTTTAAATGTGTCCTTGTGTTAATTTTCCTGTAAGGCTGTAAGCCCCTGATGACTTGATGAGTGATGATATCATTAACCATTGTTGGATAATCGAAAAGATTGGAGTTACCAAAAAAATGTATCACGTGGGGCCCGTTTAATCAGGCTGCAACAATTTTGTTTTGGGCACGTTATATACTTATGAATAATCATGATGTAGCTCCTAAAGGGCATGACGGAAATAGTGGGCCATTGATTACCCAAAATAATAGTGGAGCCCATGGTTGGAAGTGTCTGAGCAAATAATATAATTCATCAATTTAGATGAACATACAATAATATGGTAGAGGATGAAATTTGCTAAAAAAATAAAAGAATGAATCTCATTTGATTTGAATCAGGTTATCTTGCTTTTATTTTCATTTTGGAGCAGTGTGGGATTGGAAAATTATTCAATAATTGCACTGTTCTACATTTCACATTACTTAGAGAATGAAAACGAAGGTGTTGCTTTCACCTATATAAGGTTTTATTTAGGATGGCAATTTTCATATTTAAAATGATTTTATTTGACACAATATATATATATATATATATATGCGAGTAAAAACGGGTTTAAAGTAATAATCCCAAGCTCGGCCCTGAATTTTTTGGGCTAGATACAGACCCGGCCAAATTGAATACAAAAAATCTAGGCCCAAGCCCAAAACTTTGTGGGCTTGATTGGGCCAAGAATGATCACCCCAACACTCGCTTTTATACATCACGTGGCAGCATCCGATCTGGAAGACTGGAACTTGGCATCTAATGGGTCCCATGGAAAAGAGATCTCATAGCAAAAAGATGATTACAATCAGATTATCAATAATCCACTATATTCCTTTTAGATGGTTGATAATTGCCCAAAAAACGATCTCAAAGATTTCGTACTTAAGAAGGCCCACATTTTGAGATGCAATAGTGAGAACTAATTTACAATAACACTCTCTTTTACTTTTTATCATTAACAATTGTTATCATGCTAACCAGGATTAAATGTTATTAGTGGGTATCTGTACGATGTACGGGTTTTATTGAGTGAAAGTGAAATAATGAAAATACATAATAATAAATACATTTTTTCTATTTTCCATTGTAACAATATGGACTAATATCATCATATGCAAGGATTATAATGTTTAAATTATATAATTTATAATTTATATAAAAAATGTATTTTAAATACACTATGAACCAATTACATTTATTTCTTGAAGATTATTGATAAAGCTTTTTTATCAAAATATAATTATTTAAATGTAATTTTCTGATATTTTCAGAAACATTGGTACTTTATTTTTGGTTATTTTCTTCACTAAAACTAATTTATGACAATTTTTGGTAATTAAATGTAATTTTCTGAAATTTAAGCTTAAACTATAATTACTGTTAATTATAGTTTATTAAAAATACTGTAATTATTAAAATACTGTTAATTAATAAATACTATAATGAATTAAATACTATAAATTAATACATACTTTATTAAATGAAAATACTGTTAATTGATAAATACAGTATTTATTAAAATACTATAATTATTTAAATGTAATTAAATACAACTTTATGATAATTACAGTTTAAAAATAAATATTGTAATTATTTAAAAATACCGCAAATGATTATAAAAAATACTGTAATGATTAAAATACTATTAACTATTAAAATTACTGTTCATTAATAAATACTGTAATTAATAAAATACTATTACTTATTAAAAATACTGTAGTTATTTAAAAATAATTTAATTGTTTAAAAATACTATAATTAATTAAATATTGTTAGTTTATAA